TTTTAACTATCCATTCCTCTACAAACCACTGATCCCACTTATTAAAAAAAGGGCTTTAAGACCCCCAATTCCCAGCAAGCGCAATGGCTCATGCCTTAATCCCAGCACATTGGGAGGCCGATGTGGCGATCACGAGGTCAAGGAAATCAAGGACCCATCCTGGCCAAACACAGTGAAAATCCCATACTCTACTAAAGATACAAAAACAAAAATAGCCGGCCTAGGTGGCCGGCGGCCTCCGTAGTCCCAGCTACTTGGAGGCTGAGGCAGGAGAATGGCGTGAACCCGGGAGGTGGAGTTTGCAGTGAGCCAAGATCGCACCACTGCACTCCAGCCTGGGTGACAGAGCAAGTTTCCGTCTCAAAACAAAACAAAACAAAACAAAACAAAACAAAACAAAACACCCATTTCCCCCTTGTCAACTCAAATAAATCCTATTTATCCTTGAAAACTCAGCTCAAACCCCACTCACATCCTCTCTGGATCCTTAGTAAGTCTTTGCTGTCTCTTCAGAGAGAGGCAGTCATACTGTTACATGTCTTCTTACAGGTGATGGCGACATTGGTTAAAATGTTTGAGGGCTCAAAACCTGGGTCCATCCAATACTAGCCATGCCTCCATTTTCCCACCTGTACAAGGGCGATAACAGTAGTTGGGATAAGAGGTCAATGAGGCCGGGCACAGTGGCTCACGTCTGTAATCCCAGCACTTTGGGAGGCTGAGGCGAGCGGATCACCTGAGGTCAGGAGTTTCAGATTAGCCTGACCAACATGGTGAAACCCTGTCATTACTGAATACAAAAAATTAGCTGGTCGTGGTGGCTCACGCCTGTAATCCCAGCTACCTGGGGGAGCTGAGGCAAGAGAATCGCTTGAACCTGGGAGGCAGAGGTTGCAGTGAGCTGAGATTGCACCCCTGCACTCCAGCCTGGACAACAGTGAGATTCCATCTCAGAAAAAAGGAGGTCAGTGGGTTAATACTCGTTAATACACTTAGCACCTTGCATAACACATAGAAATGTCTCAATAAATTATCTGTTGTTGTCATCATGCTATTATTTTAATTCAATTTAATGAAATATTTAAAGTTTTCCTGAAGTGTGGGATGGAAAATCCTGGTGACTTGAATAGCTCTGTCTCCCTTTCCTGTAGGGTAACTCCATCTTCAGCGTGTGTGGTAGCCAAAGTTGAACTGGATTTGTTTACAGACCAGACTATTAATTCCTTGGGGACAAGGACTGTGTCCTGTCATCTCTGATCTCTGATCTGAGCTGGCATCAGTTAATATATGCTCCTTCAGTGGGGAAAATCCCCAAGGCAACATGAGTAGGCTGGAATTCACCACAATAGGGCAGAAGGTCATCTCTTGTATCATGTTTCTATAAATGTTACATATTTTTAATTAGCCGTCTACTACCTATGCTCACTGAGAACTGGGTAACAAGATCAAGTTAAATCCTCAGCCTTGCCAAAGAGTTTGTTACCTCCTGGTTACTTTGTAGAAATGTGGGTTATAACTCAAAGTGACCACGTGGTGGCAGCAGAGGAGAAGGAATGAATTGTTTTGTTCCCATTACCCACGCGGTGCTACAGACTGCAGAGTTGGGGCCTAAGGGAGATACGTAGCACCATATAAGAATAACGTTAGATAATTTGTTTTTGGGAATGAGAACAGGAAAGTGTTAAATACACGCACTTTAAATAATGAGTAACAAATCAAACAAAATGGTATTTGATGAAGACAACATATATACACTTGACTTTCAGATCATGGTCAACTAAGGGGGAGAAAAAAAGAGACAGAAGAGAACAGGAAGTGAGGGGGCACCCACCAGTCCCAAGATGCTGCAAGATGGGTGACTCGAGGAGACATAGCTTCTTAGTTAAGAGTACAATCTTTGTTTCAAATCCCAATCCCACCATTTGTTTCCAGTGACTTAATCCCTCTGTCCCCTAGAGCTGTCATAGTGAGAGTAAGCAAGAACTTGATTTTTCCATTTTTTTGTTTGTTTTTTGAAACAGGGTCTTGCTCTGTTGCCAAGACTGGAATGCAGTGGTGCAGCCATAGATCACTGCAGCCTCAAATTCCTGGACTAAAGCAATCCTCCCACCTTGGCCCGCCAGAGTACTGGGATTACAAGTGAGAGCCACCATGCCCAGCTTCTAGGCAGTTTATATTTATTTCTTAGATAATTCTCACCACTCCAGAGCTGTATTATTATCTTCGTTTTTTAGTTAAATGATTTGCCCAAGATCATCTGGTTAGCG